GTATTCAATCAAAAAAAAAAAAAAAAAAAATGCACCAATCCTTGAATTTAATTCATGAGGAAACACAACTACATACAGTACAGGATCCTGGATTTGAATTCAGGACTAGAAAAGAGACATTAGTGGGAAAACTGACAAAAATCAAATAAGGCCTTAGTGCATTAGCTAACAGTACTGAATGGATATAAATTTCCAGGTTTTGATAATGGCACTATGCTCATATAAGATGTTAACATTAGGAAAAATGTGGTGAAAGGTATATAGGAATTCCCTAATATGTTTACAACATTTCTATACTTCTACTTAAAAAGATTTCTAAAAGTGAAGTACTAAAAAATATTAAATAATTAATATAGGTGAAGGGCGAAGATTATCAATTGTACTTTTCTTGTAACTTTTCAGCAAATTAAAAATTTTTTTTTCAGACAGAGTCTCACTTTGTTGCCCAGGCTAGAGTGAGTGCCGTGGAATCAGCCTAGCTCACAGCAACCTCAAACTCCTGGGCTCAAGGGATCCTTCTGCCTCAGCCTCCCGGGTAGCTGGGACTACAGGCATGCGCCACCATGCCTGGCTAATTTTTTCTATATATATTAGTTGGCTAATTAATTTCTTTCTATTTATGGTAGAGACAGGGTCTCACTCTTGCTCAGGCTGGTTTCGAACTCCTGACCTCGAGCAATTCACCCGCCTTGGCCTCCCAGAGTGCTAGGAGCAAATTTAAATTTTTTCAAAATAAAAAAACTAGAGGAAAAAGGAAAATAGACATTTTACTAAATATTTCATATTCATGATCTAAGTACACTTAAAAATCCCTATCTATGCCCTTTAATCGAGCACCTAAATTATACTCACAGTATGGAATGGAAATGGTATGAATGAACAATGAGGAAATCTGTCCAAGATCACATAACAGAAGCTTCGAACCTACATCAAAACATTATTCGGGCAGGGCGCGGTGGTTCATGCCTGTAATCCTAGCACTCTACGAGCCTAAGGTAGGCGGATGGCTCGAGGTCAGGAGTTCAAGACCAGCCTGAGCAAGAGGGAGATGCCATCTCTACTAAAAAAAAAAAAAGGAAGGAATTCAATTGGCCACTTAAAATATTTTTTTTAAAAAAATATATAAAAAAAAATTAGCCGGGCACGGTGGCACATGCTTGTAGTCCCAGCTACTCAGGTGTCTGAGGCAGAAGGACCACTTGAGCCCAGGAGTTTGAGGTTGCTGTGAGTTAGGTTGATGCCATGGAACTCTAGCCCAGGCAACAGAGTGAGACTGTCTCAAAAAAAGCAAACAAACAAAAAAACATTATTCATTCCACTGCTAGTCTAGAGCTATAACCAACAAATCATTCTACTAAATAGTTTGAAGCATTCAATAATGTATTAAATGCCCCACCAGGACCTATGATTTTTTTTGTTTTTTGTTTTTTTTGAGACAGAGTCTCACCCTATTGCCTGGGCTAGAGTGCCGCAGTGTCAGTCTAGCTCATAGCAACCTCAAACTCCTGGGCTCAGGTGATCCTCCTGCCTCAGCCTTCCGAGTAGCTGGGACTACAGGCATGTGCCACCATGCCCAGCTAATTTTTTTCTATATATTTTCAGTTGGTCAATTAATTTCTTTCTCTTTTCAGTAGAGATGGGGTCTCGCTCTTGCTCAGGCTGGTTTTGAACTCCTAACCTTGAGCGATCCACCCACCTCAGCCTCCCAGAGAGCTAGGATTACAGGTGTGAGCCACTGTGCCTGGCCTCAGAATCTATGATTATTCTACATTCTCTACATCCCTGTCAAGTTCTCACAGCCTGTTAAGAGTACATTTTTCAAGCTATCAGTAAACACAAAATCCACTGCTGTTAAACAATCAGGGAGTGTTTTTTGCTGCCTCCTACACTGTGCCAGATAATAAAGATGCTGTGATCAGCACTTAACTGCAATTTGGCCAGTGATGCGGGAGGCTAAACAGGCTCCTTCTGTGGTACTGGAGAATAAGCAGCACTCTTGCCAGGAAAGCAACAGGATAAGACTTGCAGGGATTAAGGCTGTGAGCAGCAGTGGCTTTTGTAATACTGACCTGAGTGAACACTTCCTTTACTGACCATAGTATTGCTTCTGTCAACGGAAAAAAAAGCCAAACCCTGTAAAATAATTTTAAAGAGATTTATTCCGAGCCAAATTTGAGGACCATGACCCGGAGCCACTGCCAAGAGGCCTTGAGCAAGCGGGGTCGCTGTGGCTAGGTTACAGTTCAGTTTTATACATTTTCAGAGAGACAGGGGTTACAGGCAAAGTCACAAATCAATACATGAGAGGCATACATTGGTTTGGCCCAAAAAGGTGGGACATCTCCAAGCTGGGGGCTTACAGGTTATAGGTGGGTTTAAAGATTCTTTGGCTGGCAATTGGCTGAGAGAGTTAGTTAGACTTTATCTAGAAGACCAGAAAGGATATGCTTATTTTAAGATAAGGGTGTGAGCACTCTGGGAGGTCCAGACAGGAGGATGTTTTAAATTTACAATAGGTGTCTGCTAGGATGCTTTAAGACATTTTAAATTTATGATAGGCATCTGCTAGGATGCTTGAGTTAAGACCGGGGCTTCTTATCTTTTAGGTGATATTAATGCCATACCAGAATCAGGTTGGGAAGTAAACCACCCCGCTTATGGGAATTTGAATTTGTCAGCCTGACCCAGCTGGCCTCCTTAGGAAGGAGTTTTTAGCAAAAGAAAAAGATCAGAGTTCAGTCCTCACTTCGTAACAACACAAATTGATACTTTTCAACCTCATAGTTAGATATAGTCAAGAAAAGAACAAAGCAGAATGGTTTACCTTGCTTTATTAAATAAATGCAAGAAATGCTAGTGTGGATTGATAAAGAGGACACCTCATAATTGATTCATATTAGTTGATTCATATTAGTTATTGATTCATATTAGTTAGAGGAATTCATAACTGTAAATCTTTAGTAATTAGCTGCCTGCATAGAGTTAAAATAAATACAATTTATAAAAATTTGGTTCAACTCAACCTAACAAAAATAAATGTGGTATGTGTGACAAGGAATTACTGGAAAGATAAAGGTCAAAAAGAAGGTTACATCAAGACAACAGCAACTGGCTGCTGTGAAAAGCCATCTTTCTCTGTTCCCGGTCGGTTTCCTGCTGGCTGCGTGGACTCTGGCAGCGCCAGAGTCCCCGAACTCGTGCTTTCTTTTCCATCCCCGGCACTGGATTCCATGCCCCACGATGTCAGACACAGCTGTGGACACCAGCTCCGAGATCACCACCAAGGACTTAAATGAGAAGGAAGTTGTGGAGGAGGCAGAGAATGGACGAGAAGCCCCTGCCAATGGGAATGCTAACGAGGAAAATGGGAAGCAGGAGGCTGACAATGAGGTAGATGAAGAAGTGGAAGAAGGCGGCGAGGAAGAGGAGGAAGAAGAAGAAGGTGATGGTGAGGAAGAGGATGGAGAGGAAGATGAGGAAGCTGAGGCTGCCACTGGCAAACAAGCAGCTGAAGATGATGAGGACGATGATGTTGATACCAAGAAGCAGAAGACTGATGAGGATGACTAGATAGCAAAAAAGGAAAAGTTAAACTTAAAAAAAAAAAAAGGCCACCATGACCTATTCACCCTCCACTTCCTGTCTCAGAATCTAAACGCGGTCACCTTTGAGTAGAGAGGCTGTCTGCCCACCGTGGGCAGTGCCACCAGCTGATGACACGCGCTCTCACCACCCAACCAAAACCACAAGAATTTGCAACAGGGGAGGAAAAAAAGAACCAAAACTTCCAAGGCCCTGCTTTTTTTCTTAAAAGTACTTTAAAAAGGAAATCTGTTTGTATTTTTTATTTACATTTTATATTTTTGTACATATTGTTAGGGGTCAGCCATTTTTAATGATCTCGCATGACCAAACCAGCCTTTGGAGCATTCTCTGTCCTACTTCTGACTTTCCTTGTGGTGTGACCATGCTTATTATAATCTCAAAGGAGAAAAAAGCAAAAACAACAACAAAAAAACAAACAACAAAAAAACAATCTTATTCCGAGCATTCCAGTAACTTTTTTTGTGTATGTACTTAGCTGTACTATAAGTAGTTGGTTTGTATGAGATGGTTAAAAAGGCCAAAGATAAAAGGGTTCTTTTTTTTCCTTTTTTTGTCTATGAAGTTGCTGGGTAGTTTTTTTTTTTTTTGGCCTGTTTGATGTATGTGTGAAACAATGTTGTCCAACAATAAACCAGAATTTTATTTTGCTGAGTTGTTCTAAAAAAAAAAAAGACAACAACTACAAAAAATAATATAAATTTTTATTCTTAAGTCTAGTCTGTACTTCATGCTTAATTGAAGATTACATGCTTAATTGAAGACAAACACCCTCTGGGAGAAAAATTATAGGTTTGATTATTACTTTTACTTAAATTCACACACTTAAAAATCAACGAAATGGGATTCATCCAAATAAAGAACTTCTGTTCTACAAGGACATTGTTATGAAAATTAAGAGGCAAGCCACAGACTAGAGAAAATAACTGCAAAATATATATCAAACAAAGGTCTTTTTTTTTTTTTTTTTTGAGACAGAGTCTCACTTTGTTGTCCAGGCTAGAGTGAGTGCTGTGGCGTCAGTCTAGTTCACACCAACCTCAAACTCCTGGGCTCAAGCAATTTACTGCCTCAGCTCCCAAGTAGCTGGGACTACAGGCATGCGCCACCATGCGCTAATTTTTTCTATATATAATTGGCCAATTAATTCTTTCTATTTATAGTAGAGACGGGTTCCCTCTGGTCAGGATGGTTTCGAACTCCTGACCTCGAGCAATCTGGCTGCCTCAGCCTCCCAGAGTGCTAGGATTACAGGCGTGAGCCACCATGTCCGGCTCAAAACAAAGGTCTTCTATTTAGAATCTAAAGAACTCTTACTGATTATACTAAGACAAACAATCCAATTGAAAATTCAGCAAAAGATTCAGTTATTTCACAAAAGAAGTTATACAAATGTCCAATAAGAACATGAAGAGATACTCAATATGATTAATCATTTGGAAAATGCATATTAAAACCACAATGAGATATCAGTACATACATACTAGAATGGCTAAAAAGACTGACCATACCAAGTGTTGGTGAGGATGGAGCAACTCTCACATGACTGGATAAACCAGCAATTGTGTGTAATACACAGCCACTTTGGAAGACAGTTTGGCAATTTCTTTTTTTTCTTGAGACGAGTTTCACTTTGTTGCTCGGCTAGAGTGAGATGCCGTAGAGTCAGCCTAGCTCACAGCAACCTCAAACTCCGGGCTCAAGCAATCCTCCTGCCTCAGCCTCCGAGTAGCTGGACTACAGGCATGCGCACCATGCCGGCTAAATTTTTTTATATATTTTAGTTGGTCAATTAGTTTCTTCTATTTTAGTAAGACAGGGTGCTAGTTCAAGCTGGTTTCCAACTCCTGACCTTGAGTGATCAACCGCCTCAGCCCCCAGAGTGCTAGGATTACAGGCGTAAGCCACCGCGCCCAGCCAATTTCTTAAAAGTTAAACATATCCCTTCCATTTGACTTAGCCATCCCACTCCTAGACATTATTCTAGAAATGAAATAATTGTCCACACAAAAAAAAACCTATACATAAATGCACATAGCAGTTTCATTTGTAATAGCCAAAAACTGAAAACACCCCAACTGTCCACCAGTAAACAAATAAACATTTTATGAAGAAAACTACTCAGAAATAGAAAGGAAAAAACTACTGATACACAACTCAGATGAATCTCAACACCATTTTGCTGAATTAAAAATGCCAAGCAAAGAGAACATAATGTGAGATTACGGATACTCTTCTACTTATGATTGGGTTACATGCTGATAAACCCATCATAAATTGAAAATACTGTTAAGTCAAAAATGCATTTAAGGCCGGGCATGGTGGCTCACGCCTGTAATCCTAGCACTATGGGAGGACGAGGCGGGAGGACGTCAAGGTCGAGAGGTCGAGACCACGTAGCAAGATGGAGACCCCTTCTCTACTAAAAATAGAAAGAAATTAATTGGCCAACTAAAAATATATAGAAAAAATTAGCCGGGCACAGTGGCACATGCCTGTAGTCCCAGCTACTCGGGAAGCTGAGGTAGGAGCACCACTTGAGCCCAGGAGTTTGAGGTTGCTGTGAGCTAGGCTGATGCCATGGCTCTGTGGCCCCGGCAACAGAGACTCTGTCTCAAAAAAATAAAATAAAGTTTAGTGAATCCCAAGCAGTATAAACGAAAAACACACACATGTACACATACACCTACCCCAAATTCAATTGTCACTTTCTCTATGAAGTCCTCCATTTCTCCATACTAAATAATTTCTTCCACTGTAACTCAAGATCACCTTAAACATTAAACAAGTGCTTAAATTATAGCACTTGTCTTGAATATCCTGATGTTATGCTTGTATCAGTTTCCTACCTATTAGAGCAGTGATATATAAAAATAGTTTATCTGACAACCTCTGTTAGCAATAAATAAATAAAAATTATAAAGAAATTTTTTAAAATGTTGACAGTGGACCACACACACAAAAAGATTATTCAATGTGATTTAGCACACATATATAACACAAATACACACACACATATAGCGCTCACTTTTTAAAGCAATTAAAATATACTTTACACCAGGCACGGTGGCTCATGCCTGTAATCCTAGCACTCTGGGAGGCCAAGGTGGGAGGATTGCTTGAGTTCAAGAGTTTGAGATCAGCCTGAACAAGAGAGAGACCCTCATCTTTACTAAAAATAGAAAACATTAGCAGGGTATGGTGGCAATGCCTGTAGTCCCAGCTACTTGGGAGGCTGAAGCAGGGGGATTGCTTGAGCCCAGGAGTTTGAGGTTGCTGTGAGCTAGGCTGACGCCATGGCACTTACCCGGGCACCAGAGTGAAGACTTTTGTCTCCAAAAAAATAATAATAAACTTCCTTCTTTTCTTCCTTGCAAGAGAGGGAGATGAAAGGAAAAACAAAATATACACACACACACTTTAAAAAAAAGATTCCAATATGCCAAACTCTAATGTCACAATGAATTAATTTCTGACCCTTGTCAATGTATATTCATATACTTTTTTCTCAACTTGAGTTTGTTTTTACTAATTTTATTTTCAATTATTATATAGTAAAATTGACTTTTCTTGATATACTGTTCTATGAACTTTAACACATGAATAGATTCATTGTAAAGACTATAACTATTTCATTTTGGTCTATTTCTTAAATCATTATGTGAACCAAAATAAAATCCTAAGTTCCTTCATCAACTGAATGGACTCCTCCTCCTTTGGCCAAGGAGATCCCAGAAAAACCTTAAAATTGAGTTCCTGGCCATGAAGGGAAAGAAGATCAGATACCTCCTTATACCTCCTCTCTTTTGGAGTTTAGATAAAACAACTGACCAGCATTACTGTTAAAACAGATCACAAGACTGACAAAACAGACTCTCCGTGACAACAGGATACTAAATTATTAACAGGACATAAAGCCATGCACAGCAAAAGTTAAATCACCTGCAGGCCATCAATTTGTACAAACCACTTGAATCAGTACATTGTGGCTTGCCTATGACTAACAGGCTTCCTTATCCTAAGTTAAACATCTTTTAACTTATCTTTAGAAAAAGCTTTACTTCTTTTTTTTTTTTTTTTTTGACCAACTTCAATATAGAAAAAATTAGCTGGGCATGGTGGCACATGCCTGTACGTCCCAGCTACTCGGGAGGCTGAGGCAGGAGATTGCTTGAGCCCTGGAGTTTGAGGTTGCTGTGAGCAAGGCTGACGCTGCAGCACTCTAGCCTGGGAAACAGAGTGAGACCTTGTCTCAAAAAAAAACAAAAACAAAAAAAGAACGATGCAAATCAGAGGAGACTAAGGAGACATGGCAACTACATACAGTACAGGATTCCGGATTTGAATTCAGGACTAGAAAAAGAGACATTAGGGGAAAACTGACAAAAATCAAATTAAGGCCTTAGCATTAGGCTAACAGTACTTGAATGGATATTAAATTTCCAGGTTTTGATAATGGCATATGCTCATATAGATGTTAACATTGGAAAAATGTGTAAAGGTATATAGGAATTCCTAATATGTTTACAACAATTTCTATATTCTACTTAAGAAAGAATTCTAAAGTGAAATACTAAAAATATAAATAATTAATATAGGTGAAGGCGAAGAATTATCAATTGTACTTTTCTGTAACTTTTCAGCAAATTATAAAATTTTTTTTTAGACAGAGTCTGCACTTTGTTGCACAGGCTAGAGGAGTGTCGTGGATCAGGCCTAGTCACAGCAACCTCAAAACTCCTTGGGCTCAAGCGATCCTCTCTGCCTCAGCCTCCACGGTAGCTGGACTATAGCATGCGCACCATGCCGGCTAATTTTTTCTATATATAGATTAGTTGGTCTAATTAATTTCTTTCTATTTATGGTAGAGACGGGCTGACTCTTGCTCAGGCTGGTTTCAAACTCCTGACCTCGAGCAATCGTCACCCGCCTTTGGCCTTCCCAGAGTGCTAGACAAATTTAAATTTTTTCAAATAAAAAAACTAGAGGAAAAAGGAAAATAACATTTTACTAAATATTTCATATTCAGATCTAAGTACACTTAAAAATCCCTATCTATGCCCTTTAATATAGCACCTAAATTATCTCACAGTATGTAATGGAAATCGTATGAATGAACCAATGAGGGAAATCTTCCAAGATCACATAACAGAAGCTGCGAACCTACAGCAAAACATTATTCGGGCAGGCGCGTGGTTCATGGCCTGTAATCCTAGCACTCTACGAGCCTAAAGGTAAGGCGGATGGCTCGAGGTCAGGAGTTTCAAGACCAGCCTGAGCAAGTGAGGGAGATGCCATCTCTACTAAAAAAAAAAAAAAAGAAAGAAATCAAATGCCAAACTAAAAAAAATATATATAAAAAAAAATATAAAAAAAAATTAAGCCGGCACGGTGTGGCACAATGCTTGTCAGTCCCAGCTACTCAGGTGTCTGAGGCAGAAGACCACTTGAAAGCCAGGAGTTGAGGTTGCTGTTGAGGTAGGTTGATGCCATGGGAACTCCTTAGCCCAGGCAACAGAGTGAGACTCTCTCAAAAAAAAGCAAACAAACAAAAAAACCATCTATTCATTCACGCTAGTCTAGAGCTAATAACAACAAATCATTTCACTAAATAAGTTTGAAGCATTCAATAATGTATTTTAAATGCCCCACAGGACCCTATGA